CATGGTTATGCTTTATTTCTTCTTGTGCAGTTATATGTGTTATGATAATAGACTAGTATTTTGTGTGGCATACTTCAACTTTACTTATGAGTTTTTTATACGTGTAATTTTATTTATCTTTATATTTACCATGACAAATTCCGCCGTGAGATCATCTTTTTGATATCATGCATGTCCCAAGCAGGATAAAGGAGGAGGGTGCTGTGATAGGCGCGTGACGGCCAATAGTATCACCTAGTCACATCACATGACATGAATCGAAATATGAATATCGCTATAGCTAGGTCGTCGCCCGTAAGCAACGCGGCATCCCTCCGCATAGGGGTGGTGTCAAATATGCAAGGGCGCGCTACACTTCTTAGACCCGAGTGTAGTGATAAGAATGTTAAGGTTGCTAGGTCGACGTCCGGAAGCGGCGTGTCATTCCATTGCCCGAGAATGATGTCAAATATGCAAGGGCATGGTGGGGTCCAAAGTAGGGCTAAGAAGAGAAGGTGGAGTGCTAGATTGCGTTTTGGGACATGGAATGTTGGGTCTCTTACACGCAGATCTTCCAAGGTAGTCTAAGTTATGAGGAGAAGAAATGTCAACATTATGTGTGTGCAAGAAACTAAGTGGGTTGGAGAGAAAGCACGTGAGATTCATCCCGGAGGTTTTAAGTTGTGGTATTCGGGGAGAGATAAGACCAGAAATGAGGTAGGCATTATTGTGGCGCGTGACTATGTTGAGGATGTGGTAGAAGTCTTCAGGAAGAACGATCGTATCATGAACATTAAATTGGTGATAAGGGGTGAGATTGTGTCTGTGGTAAGTGTCTATGCACCACAAGTGGGACTGGATGCATCTACAACCCAACAGGTCTGGGAAGATCTTGAAGACGTGGTGCGACGAGTGCCAAGGGGAGAGAAGTTGGTCATAAGAGGTGACCTCAACGGGCATGTGGGCTCGAGTCATGATGGCTTTGACAGTATTCATGGCAGACATGGTTTTGGCCCTAGAAATGAAGCGGGAAAGAACATTTTGGATTTTGCCTCGACATATGAGTTGGCTATAATGAACACTTGGTTTAAGAAAAGTGACTCTCATCTTGTAACCTATAGAAGTGGAACTAATAGTACCCAAATTGACTACTTCTTAGTATGGACCACATGGAGAACTAGCTACACTTATTGTAAGGTTATTCTATGTGAGAGTGTCGTCACTCAGCATAGGATGTTTGTGCTTGACTTTCAAGGTAAGAACCATAGAAGACACGTAAGCAACAAGTGGAGCCAAAGATAAAGTGGTGGAGGCTCGAGGGAGATCTTCAACAAAGCTTTACACACAAATGGTCGGTGAAGATGTATAGCGTATTGATAATGAAACACATGTGGATGATGTGTGGTTATCAATGGAGTTGACCATTAACAAAGTGGCAAAGGAGGTACTTGGAGAATCTAAAGGATGTCTGCCGCCCAAAAAGGACACGTCTTGGTGGAATGATAAGGTGAAACAAGCCATAAGGAACAAAAGAGATTGCTACAAAAAGTTGGGGACAAGTTGGAGTGATGAGAACATAGAAGCATATAAGGAGGCTAAAAGACAAACAAAGAAAGCCGTAAAGGAAGCACGTGGGAAAGTGAACAAGGAGTTGTAGGAAAAGTTTGACTCTAAGGAAGGAGACCCAGATATTTATAGACTTGCTCGTTTTCGTGATCGCAGGACTCAAGATATCGCAAAAGTCAAGTGTGTGAAGGATGTCGATCAAAGGATATTGATGGAGGACGGAGAGATAAAAGAGAGGTTGAGATCATACTTTGATACACTATTCAACGGGAACAAAGCGCAAGATATAGGTGATTTGACCATACCAGATTGTATGGTAAATCATGATTTTGTGAGAAGGGTCCGAACAACGGAAATTAAAGAAGCGCTGAGGAAGATAGGGCGGAAGAAAACCGTGGGTCCAGATGGCATACCGATTGAGACTTGGAAAAGTTTGGGAGAGAGGGGCGTCGAGTGGTTAAGAAGTTTCTTCAACATGATTTGGAGAAACAACAAGATGCCAAGGAGGTGGAGGAAGAGTACTCTTATCCCCTTATTTAAAAATAAAGGTGATGTACAAGAATGTGGCAACTATCGAGAGATTAAGCTTGTTATGAGTCACATCATGAAACTTTGGTAGCGAGTGATTGAGCAAAGACATCGAAGAACTTTTCAGATTTCTGAGAATCAATTCGGTTTTATGCCTGGTCGCTCGACAACTGAGGCCATTCACCTTCTTCGGCAACTTATGGAGAAGTATAGAGACACTCACAAGGATCTGCATTTGGTGTTCATTGACTTAGAAAAGGCATATGATAGGGTACCTCAAGATGTTCTTTGGTGGGCCTTAACCAGAAAAGGCACATCACACAAGTATATCAGCATCATCATGGATACATATGAGGATTGTACTACAAGTGTCCGTACTAGTGTAGGGAGGAATGGGGAGTTCCCTGTTACGATCGGAGTGCACCAAGGATTGACTCTGAACCCTTTCTTATTTGCCATAGTCATGGATGAACTTACGAAGTCGATTTAAGACGATATACCGTGGTGCATGATGTTTGTCGACGATATTGTATTGATTAATGAGACGCAATCAGGTCTTAAAGAAAACTTGGAAGTATGGCGACAAACATTTGAGAACAAGGGTTTCAGACTGAGTCGAAGCAAGACAGAGTACATGGAGTGGAAGTTTGGTGGACGTAGAAGCAGTGGTAATAGCGGAATTACTCTAGATGGTAAGGAGATACTGGTTAGCTATATGTTTCGTTACTTGGGCTCCATAATTCAGAAGGACGGTGAGTTAGATGGTGATGTATCCCATAGAATCAGAACAAGGTGGATGAAGTGGAAGAGTGCGTCAGGATTTCTATGCGATCTAGGTATGCCGACTAGACTGAAGGGTAAATTTTATAGGACATCAATTAGGCCTGCATTACTGTATGGCGTAGAGTGTTGGGCGGCGAAACAATGTCACATTCAAAAGATGAATGTGATAGAGATGCGCATGCTGGGGTGGATGTGTGGGCATACTAGGAAGGACCGAGTGAGGAATGAGACAATCAGACAAAGAGTGGGAGTAGCGCCTATTGAAGACAAGATTCGTGAGTCGCGCCTACGATGGTTTGGTCATGTGTATAGAAGATCGAGTGATGCACCTGTCAGATGAGTTCAGATGTGTGGAAAAGAGGCAGGGAAGAGAGGGAGAGGAAGGCCCAAACAGACGTGGGTTAGGGGAGTCCAAAGGGATATATTTTTTCTTGGGTTAGATGAAGGTATGACTTTAGAGAGAGCAAAGTAGAGGGAAGGTATTCGTGTGGAGGAGTGATCTCGTATCATCTTTTCCTGTCATCTTTTTTTCCTTGCTTTTTTATCCCTTTATCCTTATATATATAAGCATTATTTTTATCCTTTTATTTTAGGGAGATTTACCTAAATAGGAGTAAATAAAAGAATAATTACAACAATAGGAGTTTAAAGTTTAAATTCCCAAAATAGGACTAACTCTTCCTATTCTACCATTTCCCTTGTCCTTAATAATAGGATTTTTAAACAATCATTATAAAATATATAAAAAATCAAACAAAAAATAAAAATCGTAAAAAATAATTAAAAAATATGTAGACCTCAACCACCTCAGCCACCTTCCAGCACCGCCACCTCCGGTCGCCGGAAAAGATTTCCAAGTTGGGGGAAAATGCCATCATGATGGCAATTTTGAAGAGAAAGCAAGAGAAAGCTGGATATTTTCAAAGAGTAAAATGTCATTTTTATGGCATTTTCAGAGAAATGTGGCAGTTTTTACACAAGATGACATTTTTTTCCGGTGACCGGAGCCGGTGGTGCTGGGAGGTAGAGGACGCGTTGGCAGTGACCTGCATATTTTTAAATATTTTTTAGGTATTTTATTTTATTTTTTAGATTGTTTTAAAATTTTTAAATAATTTATTTATTATTTATTATTTTTTATTTTTATTTTATTTTTTCACGTTTTCATTATTATTTTAAAAATATTTTATTATTTTTTCTATTTTTATTATAAATAAAACTATGATTTTCTTATTAATAAAATAAATCTATTAAAAATTATAGGAAGGGGGTAGAATGGGAAAAGGAGATATATATAAGTCCTATTTTGGGAATAAAGGGATTATACTCCTATTGTTGAATTTTAGGCTTATTTTAGACTATTTTTAGTCCTACCAAGGGCTATTTCCCCTTTATTTTATCATTTTTATGTATACCGATTTCTTTTTATATCTTCTTTTTTATAATAGTTTATCTTTTTGTATATATATTTTCTTTCATTTCCTTTTGGTGGTGATATCATATATCGATTCATGTTAGCCGATCCCGATATCTTTTAGCACTGATGTTTGGATGTTGTTGTATTTACCATGACACATAATCAACAGTAACTCTTATCTTTGATTGGTTTAAATGGAGCCACGACATTTTAAATAAGAGGTTATAGAAGGCAAGTCAATCCCGATTTCTAATATATCTTCTTTGATGATTAATAAATTCCTTGACACATTTATGTGTTAACAAAAGTGAAAAGAGATTTGCCAACACATGTGGGTGTGTGTGGTGTGTGCCTAACACAGTTCGACACTTTCTACATGTGTTGAAAAATCCCATAGCAATTTATTTTGACACTTTTTCTATTTTTCTCGACATTTTGTGTGTGTAAAGAAATGTCACTTTTCTTGTGATGTATAATTTGCATATTTTAAATAATTTCTTATTAAAAAATATCATTAGTCAAAAGTGATTGTCATTGATTATGAAAATTCAATTTGATGTACCTTTTCGGGAGAAATGGGATTTAATATGCATAGTAATGTTATAATAATTGGGTTTTATCCTTACATAGTTACATAGGAGCCATCTCGATTCTCTGACTCAAAAAGATAAATTATTCCTAAAATCCTTAAATTTAGTACTCCACCAAGTCAATTTAGTAAGCCAAATTAAACCGTGAACAAATAATAATCACTTAAGAAGTGACATCTTTCATTGTAGTGACAATTAAAAGATGTTTATTAGTGGGACTGGTTTCAATTCCGTACCAGAACACACTCAATATATATAAAATATATACTCCGTATAAAAGAGACATATGTAGCCCCGTCCGGATCAGATCAAGTCAGATTTAAACAGATCAAATAAATTTCAGTCTTCTAAAATTTCTAGTATAACTTTTATTTACATTAATATTTGCAGTAAGGGTAACATGTTTTGATTAATAGGGTAAGTAAACGATGATGTGGTGTTAAGGAACCAAATTTGGATCACTTCATTACTCAGCGGGAAGCCCATTTTGTGTCCAGGCAGCATATCCGCCAGCTATATCCGTAACTCCAGTGAAACCCTGCACCATAAAAGGTAATCAACAATTTTGAATTTGCATTATTATATACGGAGTATTAAATATATTGATTTATCCAAAGTCCCTTTGGAGTCACATTATGACCGCGGCCAATCTTATGTATTCCCAGATGGATTTACAAATTTGACTTTCTTGCTTAAACAATTTTGTTTTGTTCGCTTAATTAGGATGTCAATTGTTAATTATATTCTAATTTGAATTTTAGAGTTTACAATTTTGAAGAAATTTTAATGTAATTTATGAATATATAAATTTTAATTATTAAAAATTGAATTAATCATCAATAGGAAGGATTGACTTTTATTATTGATTAACAAAAAAAATTTGACTTTGCAAAATAATTTGGGACGAAGGGAGTATGTAATGGGCGCCGATTTAGTTAGCTTGCTGACATATCTCGGTCGTTGGATCGAACAATCTCCGACCCGGTTGCAATTTCATGGATCCATTTCTTTCATGCAATGGATCCAATTCTCTTATAGGAGTTGTGGTAGAGTACCTTAATATCTTATCTATTATTGTTGTGTTTTGGTACTTTAACTCTTAAATCAATCAAATCAGTATAATAGTTATACACAAATGTTCCAATTGATAATATGATTCAAAGAAAAAATGACATGTACATTACTCACAAAGTTTCACTGGACAAAAATATTACGTAGTACTAATTTTGTTTTTGAATAAAAATATAACTAGTAACTGTGTACGAGTAACTGGACCAAAGTCACTATACATTATTTTAGAGTGAGAAGTCACCGGTTGATAATGAGTCATTGAGAACTAGTCATTAATCATGTTACTCTTTTATAAAACTTTAAAATAATTCATATTTTTGTCTTTTGAATTTCATTTAGTAATATTCGTGAAAAAAAATCTTAATCAGATTTGCAGTAAAAAACTACATGACAATCAAAATTTCATGTGTAGAGTGTCCACCCTACAATGATGACATGGACAAAATTAATTGAAGTGGACTTTACGCAGAGAATTTCGGTCGACTCATATGACTTTTTGGCCAAAATTTTGAATAATATTGGTAACTGAAACATTTATTTGTAATTATGGTACTGATTTGATTCATTTAAAAGTTAAGGTACCAAAACACAATAATATAGTTAAGGTACCATATATGGATTTCACTCGGTAGAGTTCACTTTGAAGTAATAAATAAAGCTACGAGTTTGAGAAGTCTATGATCTCACGAGTTTATGAGTTGCATACTTGCATTCAATATCATTATGTGATTTAACTCAAATGTCTTATGATCAAGTTGATGCGAGAGTCTCGATTTCATAGTTTGGCATGTGTGTAGAAGATCAAATGATGCAACTAATAAATGAGTTGAGAGGTGAGAAAGAGAGACGGGAAAAGAAAGAAAGAAAGACCCAAATAAACTTAGACTAGAGGGTAAAAAATGATATGATGCTTCTTGAGTTAGATTAGAGGATAAATGAGGAGAGCGAAATGGGGAGAGAATATATGTGAGGAAAATTGATCTCATCTTATCTTTTTATGTTCCATATGGTCTTTACTTTTTTCTTTTTATCTATTTATTTTATCTTTTTTATGTTATCTTATATGTATATTTATCTTATCTTTATTATATTTTTTACCTCATCTTATAATTTTATTTTTTATTAACCTTTTGTAACTCCAATTTCATATACCGATTATTCTAGGCAATCACAAACACTTTTGAAACTAAGGTTTGGATGTTATTGTTTTTGTGTGTTATGATTGAGTTGATTGAGATCTTAACACCAATTTGACCTGGGGGGAATTAATAATTGATAATAAGACTTACCTTAGAAACAAGGTCAGATGCAGCCATAAACGATCTCTTGCCTGATTGGCATCCCTGATACAATGAAATCCCCGCCAAAATTTCAATTAGTAGTCATTTTAATATGAAAATTCTATTTGTACACACTTGACACACTTTTCTGTGTACACAAACATCTTGTTTTAAAAAAAACAATTGTGTGTACACATGAGAATGTAAAATATAAACAAAATATGTACACGTACTCCATAGTTACCCGTGTACAAATTTTGTGTGCACCAAGAATGGTTGCTTTCATATGGAGTGATGATAGTACTAATATATTTCATTTGACCCAATTTATAAACTCTACATGCTTTTTTGGTTTTCTGTTTGGATTACAATAAAACAAAGATTTGTTTCATAATTTAATCCTCTAACTGTAATTTTATAACTACTTCAATCAATCATATTTTGTCAAAAAAACACTTTTATTGCATAAAAAAGTAGTGTTATCACCATTACTGTCAGTGAAGTTTATTGGATCTCCACCAAAAAGAAGAAAATGAAACAAAACAAAAGATTCCCACCCTCAAATAAACAAATGAAAAGAAGAGGTATGTGGGAAAATAATATTAGAGAAAATTGAAGTGCATGAATGTAGTGTGAACCAAGGGTAAACATATAATTTTTCTTTGGTTTGAGATGGAGATGTGCAATTGTTCAAGTGATGATTATTCCAAAAGATGTAAGATAGGTGTATTTGTTGTACATATTCAACTTATGAAGAAAGAGTCACATGCATTTGGAGTGCTAACACTCTTCAAAGCGCAAGTAGTGAGAATTTAATGACGACTTTTGTATGCAAAGATGATTTAAGAGATCGTTCAATATATCATGTACTCCATGAATGTGGTGAAATTACCAGAGAGTGGTGCAATCGATAGTAAAATTAGCCAAATCATTTTGGATCAAATGTGGTGAAAACTATCTATCATAATGAGCTACAAGAAATAACAATACTCCGTAATAAATTTTCGGTGATACGTACAACAATAATTTCATCATCCTTCCGGAAGTGTTTCAGTACTTCATCCAAAAAATTGGGGTTCTTTGACATGCCTGAAATTATGAGTTTAAGAGAAATAAATTACAGTAAAGATAAATAAGACTAAACAAAAAACTCATGACTTTGAATTCAATTCAGTATATGTTTCCGAACTATAAAAATCTTTTGAAATTACATGACATATAAACCAAAACTTTAATGATAATACTCTTGATGAATCACACAAAAATGTGAATTAGAAATCATTCCATTTGCATGATAACAGCAGGACAGGAGGGGGCATCTTAATTCTTAACAACCTTTTTCTGTTGTGAGCAGCAACCCTAGCGGCACTATGGTTCGGCAGCACCCTGGGGCGGCAAATTGAACGGCTTCGCAGGTAGATCCAGTATTCCTCCTTCTGTTTCTAGGTTTAGTCCTGGCATCGTTTTTGTTTTTCGATTGATTGTTCTCTTGTTCCGGGCATCCTGTCCCGTGTTGTTGATTCCTGCTGTTTTGGCCGAGGCTTGTGGTTCGGGTTATGCTCTGAAACCGGTGGGCGTAGCTAAACTGGTAGAAAGGGAGTGACACAAGGGTTAGGTCCCGGGTTCGAATCCCGGCAACTGCGATGAGGGGTTACTATGCTAAAAAATGCATAGGGCCTCTTCAAGTATCGGGGACAGAGCCCCATTCTCTATCTGTCAGATTGGGATTATAGTTCAACTTATATCCTCCCAACGTACTGTCCGGATGGGATTATAGTCCAACTTATATCCTCCCAACTTATATCTCCTTCGTTGGGTTATGCTCTGAAAGTAGCAACCTTATTTGTGTTCCTTTTTACAATTCTTTGGTGTGCTTTGTTGTTTGTGTGGTGGATTTCAATTTAAGTGGTATGGATATGATCATGAGAAATGCTAGTATGATATCAATTGATGCGGAGGAGAATAATGGTTTGGTGCTCGCAGTTGATCGTTTGAGAATGCTGATGTGTATAAAGAAGGTTCTGCTCTAGCGGCTGTGGCTAGAGTGGTTTCCGACAAACCCATTCATGTTGTTTCTTTCTGTCAAACTATGACTATGGTTTGGCGACCAGTGAAGGGAGTTTCAATTGATGAGATTGGAGATTCCAAATTCCTTTTACAATTCTATCACGAAGGGGACCTGAGCAGAGTAGTTGATGAAGGGCCTTGGTCGTGTGAGCAAAATCTTGTGGTCATCAAACGTGTGGGACGTACCGACATGACTCTTGAGGTTCCACTAGATCATGCGGACTTTTGAGTTCAGGTTCACAATTTACCGTTAAGCTACATGATGACAAAGGCAGCGCGTGGAATAGCAAACAACATCGAATCGTTTGTGCAAGTGGACGATGGCTCTCTTGGGGGAAAGCAAAGGCTGGTACTGCGGATCAGAGTCACTATTAATATCACTATGGCCTTGGTTAGGCGTTTGCAGGTTCGACAGGAGGGAGATAGTTGAATTTGGGAAAACTTTCGTTATGAGAGACTCCCAAACTTTTGTTTTCTATGTGGTGTGCTTGGTCATGCTGATCGTTTTAGTCCCTCTAATCCGCATAATGGCCCATGGATCGGGGAAAAGCCTTATGGGCCATGGCTACGGGCTGATATGAGGCACGATGGTTCGCATGTGGGCAACATGTGGGTGGCTTATACCTAGCAATAACAAGTTAGGAGACATGAGGGAATGAGGGATGAGGAAGCAGACCCCAGTAAAACGATAAGTGAGCAAGAGAGTTATTTGGTGGAAGGACTCCTATCAAAGGGTAAGGAGATTGTTTCAACTCAGGAAGCACCAAGAAAACGCAGGGTCACTGAGAAGGTTAGCGAGGAGGGGGCTCAGGCTAGCATGGACGTGGATGAAGCAACTCCAAAAAACTTGGAGGTGGCGGTGCTGTCTGGACAATATCGCCAGTAGTGGAAGATTTTGAGAATACACATGAAGAGCCTTTAGCGGAGGCTGGTCAAACCGCTGATTCCTTGTTAATGGCTGGAAAAACTGGATTGTGTTCTCTTAGTTTGTTGTCGTTTCAGAATTCCTTTGTGTTTTTTGCATTTCCTTCTAGTAACAGGTGCAGCATTGCTGTGAATGGAGTCTACCAAATTGCGGGGTTAGCGAGATGGACCGCTCGTAAGCGTGATTCAAACCCAGTGTAGTCTTTGTTATGACGAACTTGTATCTGATCCTCAGTTTTAATATTAATTAAGTTACTCCCTCCGTTCCCAAAAATACTTCCCACTTTCCTTTTTGGACTGTTCCCAAAAATACTTCTCACTTTCCGATTTTGGACAATTTGTGTGGCTCACATTCATTTTACCTTTTTCTTACACAATCACAACCATACATTTCCACTTTATTCCACTTTCTTAATAAGCGTGCCAAGTCAAACCGAGAAGAATTTTTAGGAACGGAGGGAGTATTTTTTACCAAAAAAAGAAGAAGAAATCATTCTATTTATCTGTCATGCGGCGCTGCTTTAGAAAGATGTACAAAATTACACTCTTCGATTCCTCCCACATGAAAAAACAGCTTTCAATTCTTAGTTGATCATAGTATATCTTCGTGAAGCTTGTTCCGCTTTACCTACTGATAGTTTAGGCGGAAAACCCACATTACACTAAAACTAACAACAACTACTTATTCTAAATATTGTGTTTATTCTAGTAATTTAATAAGGAGTAAGTAAGAGGGCAAAGTCAAATAGTTATCCAAATTACTCATTTAATCCCCTGAAAAACACCGTTATTTGTCATCAGTTTTGCAAACCTGATCCAACTTTAAACATGTAAGGTACGTTTACGGCCCCGGCAGCATGACCAGCCTCAAACTCTTCAATGGTCCTACATACATTAGTGCGCAATGTTACTTTGATAGCTTCTCCAAATTAAAAATCATAGGATTTCTGACAATCATAAAAATATTTATTTGCCTATTCAATTAGTATATCAAATTTAGTAGCCGTTTTTATATCATTCATTAGGGGTGACACGGTCCGGAACTATCCAATTTTTTGCCAAATCCGTACTCTGATTATTGAAATGGTTCGGTTCGATCTTAATCATACCTAAACCCCTTCGGTACCATTCCATTTTCATTTTCAAATGGTTCGGTACCATTTTCAAACAATGCCCTTTTATAATTATTTAAGGGGAGATTAAAGCTCAGTTAGAAGATTTGCACTTTTAGTCTTATAACTTTCGGTCGTTATCATTATTGGTCATATAATTTTAATCACTTGCAAATTTTATCCTGTAACGAATAAATCTTTGCAATTTATGGACTATTCCACCAAAAAGTACACTTTCTGGCAGAAAAATTCGACGTCGGCGACATCTTTTCTGGTGTACTATCGCCAGAAAGTGTACTTTTCCGGGGGAAAGTCCTTAAATCGCAAATATTAATTAATTACAGGATCAAATTTGCAAGTGACTAAAGTCGTGGGACTAATAATGAAAACAACCGAAAGTCACGGGACGAAAATGTGCATTAAATTTGACGGAATTTTGGCCGGAAGGACGAGGGGTGGTGAGGGGATAATGGTCACGGACTAAATGTGGACAATCTGAAAGTAAAGGACTAAATGTGGAAGTGGTATAATAGTCACGGGAAGAAAAGTGGATTTTTTTCTAATGAAAACAACCGAAAGTCACGAGACGAAAATTGCAAATTTCTCAAGCTTAGCCATACTCCAAAACTCACACAATTTATCAATTTTCATATTGCATAATTAATAAATTTGCGATAAACTCTGGTAGTACAATACATAAATCAGGAGTGATGACATTTAACTTAAAATACTAAGCACTGCAACTGCAAACTCTATTTAAGGACATATAGAATGGATATTTGCTCGAGTAGGGGACTTACGGTGTTAGGTACTGCATAAAGAAAAATTAATAACTCAGTATTAAACTTGAGTAGTAAATAATAAATTCACATAAATAATCCCAACTATTAGCTATATTCCAAAGTATATTGTAATTTGAGTGATCACATTTTTATACGGAAATAAATAATAAACCAAAGCATATATTCCAAAGAATTACAATACATAAATAATTCTTTCTATGATTCGAAAGCATATTGTAATTAGCTATAACCATTCGAGTAATAAATGATAAATTCTCTCTTTTTTACTTGTCCCAAAAACTAGTAACTTTCTCTTTAAAGTAGATCATTTGTGATTCTATTAATTTGTATATCTTTGCATAACCCTGAATCAAATTGGGGGCATGTGTTTCATTTTTTAACAAAGTGGAACATGTGTTTCAATTTTGTTATCACAACTAGGGAATGACCTCTAACACCGTTAGAAAAATAACTTTGATTTTCAAAAGTCTCCAAAAAAATTAAAAGAAAAATACTAAGAGGCGCGCCTCATCAAGAAGACCTCCCGACCATCTTTTTTTTATTACAGTCACTCTGTTGTCAGAAAGTCCACCGGAAAAGTGATATTTGTGAATCTGTTTTTAAAAAATAATCCAAATAGAGCCCAAAAATCCAAAGAAAACGATAGTTTCTTGGTCTCTTTGACGAGGCGCACCTCCCAGTATTTTTCTTTTAATTTTTCGGAGATTTTTGAAAACCGGAGTTAACATGCCTCATCTGTGATAACGAAATTGAAATACATGTCTTTGTTAAAAAATGAAACATGTGCCCCTATCTGAAAACGGTCCAAAACACAGGTACCTTTTCTGTACTTTTCCCAATAATTTTTACTTTTCTTACTATTTTACACATAATACAAACTTGGTGGTATTTAGATTGTTAACCTATATTAATTTAAAAACAGACACAAATATATAGAATAAAAAAATACTAGCTCTGTTCTGAAAAGGTTCACCATATAGATTTTTCTTGGTGAATGATGATAAACTTTGGACAATATTTTAATTATTATATTTGTATATAATTTATAAATTTTATACTTTTATGAAAATATTTTGAATAAGAAACATTTTGATATAATTTTCATATTCAAAATAGTTTTACATTAAAAATATTATTAATCAAAGTTGATTATCATTAACCAAGAAAAATCAATTTCGCGAAACTTTTCGAGATAGAGTATGAAAATATAACGAGAGAGTATGAAAATATAATGTACAAATAGACGTATGTACTTGTATGTTTTTTATATTGATCGTACTACATCGTACTCGTTCTCAGAGAGTAATTGAGTACTCCGTAATATTTAAATTAATTTTGTCAATATCTGGCGTTTCATCCTAAAATCAACTAATCAAGCAAGGGTTTTCTCTGGCAAATTATACCGTGGGATCGGCCCACCATGCACATGGTGTGCCGATCCCCAATATGGTAGTGTTTTTTAATTAAAAACGAAGTAGTCAAATATTCTTCTCTCATTTGACCAGTTTTTATTCTCTGTTTCTTCACTCCATTATTTTTTCTCCAGCATCGTTTTCACCCACAACTTCACCCAGTTTTTTTATTCTTCCATTGGACCTTTCCCTTTCTTGCTTTCTCTTGCATTTTCTATATCCATGCTTTCTGGCATATTTTAATAATTGAGTAGCCATGCTTCCACGACTCTTTCTTCTTTTTTACTTGTTTTCTTTGTCAATTATCTTCAATTCCATTATTAAAATATTAAAAATATGATTACAATTTATAATTCCATTTTATATGTTTTTAGTGTTTTTCAATGCATTGAGTTTGATTATTTCCATTTACATTTAATAAAAACATGTGATTACATTTTCAAGTGTGCAATTTACATTCATACATGATTCCTGAAGTGATGTAATACTACACGAAGTTACATCTTCTTATGCGGGACTTACATATTTTTATGCAGGGGTTACATGTAATTATGTGTGAGTTATATCTAATTATTTGTGATTTTTTACTTATCTTTATCTTGAACTAATTAAATTATAACCAAATTAATTTTTTTCTTTACCAATTTAATACAAAATTTTATTAATTCACATAAAATAAGTATATTGTATTTCACATTCATACACTATTTCTTACTTTGTATACTATTTTTTATATTTATTATACACTTTTTGTAAAACATTTTTTATATTCATATACTTTTTTCTATAATATGTTTTTTTTCTCTTTTATGTGTTTTTGTGTTTTATAGACATTAAGGTTGTTTATTTCGATTTAAATTTGAAAAAACATGAGAATAATACATTTTTCGTATGTGTGAGTTATGTTATAGACAATTTCTATATTTACATTTGATATTATATGGAGTTACATCTTCTTATGCATGATTTACATCTTTTTGTGCGTGAGTTACATCTTTCTATACGCAAGTTACATTTGAGTTTGCCTTAGCAAATTACATTTTGCATGCACTAAAATTAGATTTTCAATCAACGCGAGTTACGTTTTCTGTAATACGAATTACATTACAACATAAAGCCTACTATTGAAACAAAAGAATCATTGTTATGCAAAAAAAAATGGTTTCCAAAAAAATTATGTGTTTTGGCAAAAAAAATATTTTTTAAATCATTTTTATGGACTTAGTATTAAAAGCAAAATATATTCACCATTTATGTTATTATGTTATCCCCGCTATTGAATAAAAAAAGTCACTTCTTTTTTTTGGGGATTTTTTGGCAAAAAAAGATAAAAAAAACATTTTTATATCTTTAATATTAAAAACTGTACATCTGAACCATTTAAGTAAAGTGATTGAGCAATTAGACTCCTTGTTTTCATTAAGATCAATGTTTTAATTCTTATAATTCGTATTAGACAAGTTACATTTTGATTTGCTTACCGTTACATTTCTTATTAGCTTGAGTTACATTTTGTTACACACGAGTTACATCTATTTCTCTACTGGAACAATGAAAATACAAAAAAGAAGTTATTGTTCACGCACGTGAATAGTAACATGTTTTTTTGTGCGGGAGCAGCATGCTCACGGTGGACTGCTCTCACGGTATACCAAATGGTTCTCTCCTCTAGAAGTATTAGGGTTTTCTCTTTCCTGCTATCAATTGTTACTGGCCATGGAGAATTTGCACCTAAGCGATGATGAAGAGGAAATATTGTCTTACTCAAACACCGTTTCGCAGAATCGGCAAGTGGATGCGAGTTTATGCCTGGTGGGCAGTTTTTTTACTCAGAAGCCAATACGTACACACATAATGAAGGAGAGAGGCTACAATATGGGAGCCCCATGAAGGGGTTGCGATTAAGGAGGTTTATCAAGGCATATTTATTTTCCAGTTTTTTCATAGATTGGACATACAAAAGGTTCTGAAGGGAGGGCCTTGGCACTTTGATAATCACTTGTTGATCATTGCTAGAATGGAGGTATCGTCTATACCATCCCAAGTTCCGTTATTTTATGTTGGTTTTTGGGTCCAAGTACATGATATTCCGATGAAAGTTATGACCAAGAATGTGGGGAGAGACTTGGGAAATTTTTTAGGATCGTTTGTGGAGTATGATCCTAAGAACAATGAAGGTTTTTGGAGAAAATACATGAGACTGAGAGTCACTTTGGATGTACGTAGAGCTCTGAAAAGGGGGGGAAGGGTGGGGACGCCAGAAGGTGAAATTAAGCTGGTGCGCTTCAAATAAGAGAGATTGAGTACTTTTTGCTTTTTGTGTGGAATGAAGGGTCATTTGGATACCCAATGTGATAAGTTATTTAAGATGCAGGAGGATATGGTGTTCGGGGATGGGGTACTGATCTAATGGTTGAAAGAAGGAAGTCAGCTGTGACCGGAAGGTGCTTCTGGTTAAGGGATATTCAGGGGAGGGGGGGTTTGACAGTGCTGTTAACTCTCAACACAGTCATAAGGGATCTGAACTCACTATTCTCGAGGAGACTAAGGAGACTGCACAAATGTGTCATCCTAGGGGCGATATACCAATGGAGGAAAGTGATTTAGCAGCAGAGAAGAAGAGAAAAAGATTGACATAGGAGTTGCATACGAAAGAAGTTGATAGTCCTGGTACTTCGGGGTGGCACGTTTAAATGATACACATTTTTTGGGGGTGGGTCCTGGGTTCCAGGCCCACCAGGACCAATGACTATCTTAAGTTGGAACTGTCGGGGATTGGGTCACCCGCGTGCAGTTCTGGCACTCTGAGATCTTGTCCGGTGTCATAAGCCGGATGTTATTTTTTTGTGTGAAACTTTATGTAACGGTAATAAGGTTGGTACTATTCGAAGGACTTTGGGTTTTGAGTCGCATTTCGTGGTGGATAGGGATGGAAGAATGGCGGGCTTGCGATACTATGGAGGATAGCTAACAAGCTAGAGCTAGTCAATTATAACAAACATTTTATTAATATGTTGATTAAAGAGAAACCAAGTCAGCCGTGGCAGCTCACGAGATTTTATGACATTCCGGACAGAAGACAACGCAGGGAGTCTTGGGATATCCTGAGGGGGCTAGCGACTAGCTGCAACTTACCCTGGTGTGTTATTGGAGACTTTAATGATATACTGGCACATGAGGAAAAGAGGGGGGAGAGCAGAACATCCGACTTGGTTGATAAATGGGTTCAGAGAGGCCGTTATTGACTGTGGTTTGGTGGACATTTAGCTTGAAGGAAGACCTTTCACCTGGTGGAGAAGTCTGAATACAGATGAAGCTGTGGAGGAAAGATTAGATCGTGCTATGGGAACTGAGTTATGGCTTCAATGCTTTCCAGATAGCACTTTGCGTAATTTGGTGGTGACCCATGCTGACCATTCTCCCATATTGCTTACTACAAACCTTCAAGTATGTGTGTATAAGAAGAGAAGGTCCAAATTTGAGAACTGGTTAGTTGAACCCGAACTAAACACAGTAGTCAAGAGTGAATGGGTTGAATCGCTGGGAGAGCCGGTTCTTAAAAAGCATGAAGTTGTACTGCTAAGTTACACTCTGGGGGCCGTAAATTTAGAAGGAGGCATACTCAGGCCATTGATAAATGTAGGGCTAAACTTGCTCTGGCACAAGAATCCCTATTAGAAGGTGCGGCGGCAGAAGCTATTGCTCTTCGGGAGGAGTTGGCCAAATTACTTGCACAGGAAGAAGCGTTTTGGAAGCAGAGAGCAAAAACCTTTTGGATGAGAGATGGAGACATGAATACGAAGTTCTTCCACGCTGCTGCAACGGCCCGGAAAAAGAGAAACAAAATCAGTAGCCTTAGCTCAGATGATGGGTTGCGCTCTGTGGTGCAATCCTACTTCACTAATCTTTTTGGTGCGTGCGCTGCAGATTACTCACAGGTACTTGAAGCTCTTTGTTCGTGTATTACTGATGAAGACAACATCATCTTGACAGCCCCTTTTCTTGAGGAGGAATTTAGAGTAGCTATAAATCAAATGCATTCAGATAAGGCACCGGCTCCGGATGGTCTTAACCCTGCTTTTTACAAAAGATTTTGAACGTTGTGTGGTTCCGATATAATGCATGCTTGTAAGGGATGGCTGGCAGAAGGACTGATACCAGAAATGGTTGGGGAAACGAATATCGTTTTAATTCCAAAGTGTGAGTCGCCAACTTGTATGGGTGATTTACGCCCTATTTCCCTGTGCAATGTTGTTTACAAAATAGTTGCTAAGGTGTTAGCTAATCGACTCCAGAAAGTACTCTCTAAATGTGTGTCTAAGGAACAATTGGGTTTTATCTCCGGAAGGAGTATTCTGGACAATGTTTTAATAGCTAATGAAATAATCCATTATTTGAAATGTAGAACAGGAGGCTCCAGGGTGCGGCAGATCTTAAGATTGACATCAGTAAGACATATGACCGGGTAGATTGGGGCTATCTTGTGGCTGTCTTGGAAAGGTTGGATGAAGATGGGTGTCACTACAGTGAGGTACTCAGTTATTGTTAACGACGACTACGTTGGATCGTTTGTGCCACAGAGGGGCTTGAGATAGAGGGATCCTTTATCTCCCTATCCTTAGAAAAGAACAAGCGGGTCGTCTTTAATTATATTAAAGATAGAGTTTGGCAAAAGATTTCAAGTTGGAGCAGTAAGATGCTTTCTCAGGCTGGCAGGGAGTCGGGGAGATTCTTATTAAATCTGTGGCTCAGGCTGTTCCTACGTATTGCATGAGTGATTTTTACTTCCGTGTACACTCCAGGACGAGCTAGAGAAAATGATGAATTCTTTATGGTGGGGTTCAAAACAGCAAGGAAGGAAAGGAATTAATTAGTTAAGTTGGAAAAACTTACTATATCAAAAGATAATGGAGCCAAAGATTCACTATTTTTTGGCTTGAGAACATGATGGAATAAAGCAAAATGACTCACTAAATTGTATGCGCTTCTTTGTTATGAAGCTGCAATCAGTCTATGCAATTTTGGACGCGATTTTCACTATGGGTCATTCGAAAACAGTCTCTCTAAAGCACAGAGTTAAGACTGCGTACATCCGACCTACCCTTACCCTACCGTAGGTGGGAGGGAGCCTTTGTGGCACTGGGGTAATGATAATGATAATGATCAAAAGATGCTGACAGATGATGACATTCTCGATCACACAATGAATAAAAAGCTCGTTGTGCTTTTATGCAAATATGTCTTTGAATGTGGACATTATTAATATTCTATTAATAATAATCTAGTGAATTTAGTTTACACACACACACATATATATACATATAAATATATACATACATATATACTATCCTCCGTTCAATAAAAGTTGCAACAGTTTGACTTTCACGTTTGTCAATGCGCAACTTTGATTGTAATTATATTTATTTACGTATTAGTAAACATTAAAAAAAGTTAATATATTGGAAATTTACATTAATACAAATTTATTAATATTTTATACATAATATTTTTATTATATATATTATTAGAAAATCGTAGTCAAAGTAAGATGTGTGAATAGTGCCGAAATTACAATGTTGCAACTTTTATGGAACGGAGGAAGTATCTTATATCTATATCTATATGCATGGTTGCTTGGATTCTAGGATCTTATGATCCGAGTTATGATCTCATAGACCCCTTCCGATCCGTGTTAGGATCTCGAGTTTAACAACCTTGCTCGCTATGTTGGGAAGACACGGTTGGAAATTGTTTTGTGACCCGGAGGCTATGGTTTCATGTGTCATCAAAGCTAGATATTAGGGCATAACCCCAGCTATTGTTGGCGTAGCATTTGGTTGGCCCAAGCCATAGTGAAGGAGGGATACTGTTGGAGTATCGCTATGTTGGTAAGCTAGAGTGCACACTAAGATGATCTTTGAGTTGCGGGATTCTCGGGTTGAGCAGCTTATTAACAAAACGGAAGGAGCCTGGAAAGAAGTTTACATTAGAATCATTTTTGGGCAACGAGACGCAAAAGAAATATTATCTATTCCACTCCTAAGACTTGATCACCCCGATGTTCCTATATGGTGAGCTATGAAGGATGGCATGTATTCTATGAGGAGTGGATATCGTATTTGCATGGACTCATTGATAGAGCTGAATCATTTAAAGAGAGAAGGTCCATGGCAGAAGATATGTGGTCATTGCAGGTGCCGCCTAAAGTATGCACTTTCCTTTGGCGGGTTTGAAGGGATTGTCTACCAACATGAAACAAGCTGTGTATAAGGGGAGTTGACTGCCCCGACTTGTGTGTCTGCTGTGATGGGGGGCCAGAAAATGCATGTCATATTTTTTTAACATGTCCTGGCAGTGTGTCCTGCAGGAGGGAGTTGGACATTTGGGATGAACTAGCTACCGCCATGAATGGGGCTGAAAGTTTTGTGAAGTTTTTCCTGGCTAGGGTGGGAGATTTTTCTGAAGAATGAAATTGTTTGGAATGACTATGTGGAGCATTTGGAGAAGAAGAAACGTGTTACAATGGGACAAAAATCGGGAGAGTATTATGCAGGTGATCTTTCATGGAGTTGAAACTTTACACGCTTGGGAGGCTGGCCAAGAAACTAAGCAAGACACGAGGAGCATGACGACAGACTTGGTCAGATGGAAATCACCGCCAATTGGCAGTCTTAAATGCAACGTAGATGCTGCAATTTTTGAGGAAGAAAAATGTGTTGTTATGGGCTGCTGCGTTCGAGATAAGAGCAGAGTTGTCCCCATTGGAGGAAGAAGTGTGGTGTTTGTAGGGAGCAATGAAGTGGACGAAGGACATGGAGTTTAGGCATGTCATTTTTGAATCAGATTGCAAACAATTGATTGATGATATTAATTCAGCCCGTTCTAATCAGTCTAAGTATAGATTCCTAGTTGCAGCTTGCAGGGATATGATAAGCTCTAACAACGGGTTTTCCGTTGTTTTCGCAAAGCGACAAGCGAATAGTAGTGCTCATGTTCTTGCTAGGGCATCTACTAATTATGCTTTTTGCAGAGATTTTATTGTAGTTCCTCATTGTATCTTGCATATTATTAATGATGAAATGAATTAATTTCATTTGGTCAAAAACAAGTCTTAAAATCAACTTGACAAGAGAGTAACTCAGATCTTAACATTGTCATTGTCATTTTTTATAATCATCATCATTTTTCATAGGGGGTCTAATCATGGTTATGCATCAATTTGGCTCTGATATGATGTTAAGATCTGAAACTCCTTCCTAAAAAGTACTCCGTAATTCTTATAGGAGGAATATATCAGATCTTGATATAACACACAATTATTTCACTATTTTTCAGTGTGGGACCTCAAGAGAATTATCGCTAGTAATTGTCCCTACATAAATTTCAATATTATCGTTGACAAAAACTTGTATCGAAAAACGAGTCATTAGTAATAAGTAAATAAATTACCTGACATCCAAGTAACGATGACCAGCTTGTAGAAGCTCATGTGCAACTCGGACAGGCACAGAAGCTGGGGAGTGCACTTTCACTCCCACTCTTGTCATCCAGCTGCATGAGGACAATAAATTAATGGCTCTATGATTCTGTGGTTGAAATGAAATTATGTAGTCTGGTCTAATCTATTAGATGTATATTTTTCTGTATATCACAACTATTAAAGTTTGGTAAGTCAATTCAATCAAAACATTTGAATAATACTTATTTTTTTTAATCATTATGATCTTTCTAACGATACATTTGAATAATACTATTAGTAGAGTTACTTTTGGAAAAATGATTAAATAATGTAATTCGAGTATATTTTGTTAGATTATCTTGATGAGTATATAATATAATGAATCATTGATCATAATTGTGATTTTATAAATATAGATTTTTAATATTTGATGATTAAATGTGGACTACTTGAATGTTGACTAGTTGGAAGGATGTCCAAGTCATTGAGGAAGGGAGGATAGGTTCGGCTGGAGACCGTGGAAATAAATGGAAGAAACCGGGGTCGGGGATTAATAAAATAAAAGTGGATGGCGCTGTTGACCATGAAGGTAGTAAAAGAGCCTGGGGATGGATAGCTAGAGACGAGTATGATGCTTTTATTAGAGGCTCCCGACACTACACATTTGGCCGGCTGGACGGTGGCGGAAACAGAAGCTATGGGGGTACGTGATGCGTTATCGGCAGCAGTGGAGATGGGCGGACAGCAGATGAAGATCGAATTAGATGCTTTATCAGTTGTGCAAGGAATTAAAAAAGGAGAGGGGTCCTCTTATCTGCATCTTATTCTTGATGATATTAGAAAATTTCTTGAAACAAAGAGTAATTTTTTTCTCTTTTTGTAGATGGTCGAATCGTGCGTCTCATGCTTTGGCAAGGGCACATGTTGTTCTCTAAGATCAGAGGATTAATTATAATGATATTCCTCACTGTATTGTAAGCCAGTTGGCAAACGATTTAGTAATTTAATATAGTTTTCAGCTTTGATGATCAAAAAAAATATATTTGATGATTAAATTGTCATTTAAGAACATTAGTTGTTTTCTAAAAATAGAAATGAAAACCTTTATATGAACGTCAAAAAATTAAAGTGAGAGCCTTAGAATGGGACGAAGAGAGTACATGATTAATGGAACTATTTTTATTGAATTTGAAAAGCTAATGAGTTAAACCATTCATTGAAACAATCGTTCAAATAGGACAATATTTGGTTAATTATATTAACTTGGAACTAACCAGTAACCAATGTGGTTTAACTTTGTCGAGATGAACGAATAAGGTATGTATACTGAAAGTACTTAACTCAAGTGTGGGTGTTACATTTCTTCTCTAACTATGATGTTTAAGTTATTTTTGTTATTTTCCAAACTATTGATCATTACAAGTTTAGGCGGCTAATGAGTGGGCAGAATTCAAATCAACAGGGACTAACTAAGCATTCGGTTGTTGCTTAATTATTAATTAGTTGATCCTCAAACCCACATTTTGGGGATCTCAAAGCTCACATTTCTGGATTTTTCCTTCCTAAACAAACAAAATTCTCATCTGGTTAGGCCTTCCTAAGAAGGTAATGAAATATGGTATCTTAGTTTATGACATCTTTTTAGTCCTTTTGCCTTCTTTTGTTTTTGTGAGTTTTATTTTAAATTGATTGATGAGCTTAGATTATGTTCATAAGGTGTTTGATAAATTGCTGTTTGGAATGAGTTTAGATTATGCTCATAAGGTTTTAGTCCAATGAGGTCTTTATTCCTCCCCTACTTTCACCAAGGCAAACCTTCTTAAATCATGAACATTATTAATAAAGGATATTTTCGACATTTCTAAAATATTATAATAGTGAAGGAGAGTAAGGGTACTTTAAGTATAAAAATTGTGTTGGTGTAATCAAAAGTAATATTGACTTGTACTGTATGCTTGTATCATTTCTCACTTTGTCCATTTAACATGTTTTTGCCGTGCAGATCCTCACAAAATATAGTAACACTAGAACATATAAGAGTGGACTAACACTACTAAAGAAACAAGTACTCACTCCGTCCCGAAATTATCTTCATTCTTTCCTTTTCGGTCCGTCTCAAATTTATCTCCTCTTTCCCTTTTTGATAAAGAATATGTGGTTCACAATCATTCTTACACATTTCTCTCTCCTCTGCACAACTCTTCACCACACAAATCCCACTATCTTAATCCCCGTGTCCAGTCAAAACCGTAGTTAATTATAGGACGGAGGGAGTAACTTAGAAAATCAACCACCACCAACAACTAACTGTTGGATGATATGGATGCCTCTATTCTGTTGTCTGGTTTTCTTTTATTCTGTTGCTCCTCAGTGCGCAGCAGCCTATGTTACTGAATTCTTCTTTTTGTTGCAGCTTGGTAAATCTAATCTAAACAATTGAAATTCAACATACCGATCTCATTCCATTTGTGGTCTTTAAATACAATTGTTCTCCACAAATTAAGTGTGCAGATCGTAACTGAAATAATCTAGCTAATAATATCAGCCGCATAGTGTGCGGCGTGATCTGTGCATGAGTTACAAAATATTTGAATTATTTTGAATATCCTATTATGGAGGCTATTTATACGTAGGTACATTGTATGTAGACAAGATGGTTGGAGGTTATGCATGTGCCATGCATGTGTACGTCCGAAAGTGTTGGAGGCCATGCATGTGCCATGCATAAGTGTGTTAACACCCCCCGGCAGTCAAAGCGGAGGTTGCCGAATGCTTAGACTGGAGCGAAATTCATCAAATAAAATGCGAGGTAGACCTTTTGTGAAGATATCGGCAAACTGGTGTCGGGAAGGAACATGAAGAACACGAACTTCCCCACGAGCAACCTTTTCCCGAACAAAGTGGATGTCCATTTCGATATGTTTGGTGCGATGATGTTGGACCGGATTGCCGGACATGTAGACGGAACTGATGTTATCACAATAGACCATAGTCGCTTTGGAGAGTGGGCAATGCAGTTCTAAGAGGAGATTTCGCAATCAACAAGTCTCGGCAACTACATTAGCGACACCCCGATACTCGGCTTCGGCACTTGAGCGAGAAAGGGTTGGTTGTCGTTTTGATGACCACGAGAGAAGGTTGTCACCAAGATAGACACAGTAGCCGGAGGTAGAGCGGCGTGTGTCCGGGCAGCCTCCCCAATCAGCGTCGGAGTAGGATATCAAGCTAGTAATGGAGGACGGGCGGAGATGTAGTCCGAAATTTAATGTACCTTTGATGTAGCGTAGTATCCGCTTGAGTGCGTGGAGATGGGGAGCACGCGGGTCGTGCATGAAGAGACATATTTGTTGAACAGCATATGATATATCCGGGCGAGTAAAAGTGAGATATTGAAGAGCACCGGCTAGACTGCAGTATAACGTGGGGTCATCAACTGGAGGGCCGGCAGTAGCACGTAGTTTGGAGCTGGTGTCAACTGGGGTGGAGACGGGATTGCAATCAGAAAGATTGGCACGGGAGAGTATTTCACTTGCATATTTTTGTTGATTAAGGAAGAGGCCATGCGGGTGACGAGTGACTGCTATGCCCAAAAAATAAGTGAGTGGACCGAGATCCGTCATGGAAAATTCACTGGCTAAGGTTTTAATGATAGAGCACCGAAGATCATCTGAAGAAGTGGTGAGGATTATGTCGTCAACATACAAAAGTAAATAGGCAGTTTTGTTGTTACGGTGATAAATAAATAGTGATGGGTCGCATATGCTGTGGCGGAACCCAATGGTAGAGAGAAATGATGAGAAGCGATGGTACCATGCCCGGGGCGCCTGTTTGAGACCGTAGAGTGATTTGAGAAGGCGGCAGACATGATGAGGTTTAGAGGGGTCACGGAAACCGGGAGGTTGATGCATGTACACTGTTTCCTCGAGGTGTCCGTGGAGGAAGGCATTTTTTACGTCAAGTTGATGGAGAGGCCAAGAGTGATGTAGTGCAATAGATAACACTGTCCGAATGGTGGCTGGTTTGACCACCGGACTGAAGGTTTCATCGCAGTCTATGCCCGGCTGTTGTGATTTGCCATTGACCACAAGTCGTGCTTTGTGACGTTCAAGTGCTCCATCAGACCTGTATTTGTGTTTAAAAAGCCAAAGACAACGAATAATATTAACGTGAGGAGGGCGGGGAACCAACTCCCACGTCCTATTTTTAATAAGTGCACCAAACTCGTCTTTCATGGCAGACAGCCAATTTGGATCTCGTAATGCAAGAAGGGGGGAATTGGGTATAGGGGACGCTATTGGGAAGGTATGGGTTAATAAGGATAGAGGAATTTTGGGTTTATAAATTCCTACTTTGCTACGTGTGAGCATGGGGTGAGTAGGAATTATGGGAGGTGGTGCGTTTGGTGGTGAGCTGAGTGGTGAGCTGGTTGGTTGGGATATTATGGGTGAAGAAGGGCCTGGAGAGGGCATTATGGGAGGACTGGATATGGGTGTGGCAGGGTGTCGGTTGGTCATGGGAAATATTCCCAAGATGTGATAAGATAAGGGGATGAAGGGGAGTTTGTAGGAAAGTGTAAGGAGTCTGGGAGTGTGTGTCAGTCATGGATTTATATGGAAATATTTTTTCATTGAACGTCACATGCCGCGAGAGAAGGAGTTGGCCCGTGTGGGGATTAAGGCATATATATCCTTTATGGTGTGTAGGAAATCCAAGAAAAATGCATGGAGTGGATCGAGCATCTAACTTGTGAATGGTAGAGTGGGGTTGATGTGGGTAACATAAACATCCGAAAACTCGGAGGTGTTCATAAGTTGGTGTTTTGTGGTATAGGAGATGCGTAGGAGAGAGGTTGGAGAGAGAGATCTTGGGTAGAATGTTATGGAGATAGGTGGCCATTTGGACGGCATAAGGCCAGAATTTGGGAGGAATTGAAGCATGTAGTAGTAATGTGCGGGCTATATTATTGATAGTGCGTATGGTGCGTTCGGCTTTCCCGTTTTGAGGGGAGGTATATGGACAAGAGAAACGGAAATGGAGACCATTTTGGGTAGCAAAGGAGGTGAATGATGAATTGTCAAATTCTTTACCATTATCACATTGTAGAGTCTTTATTTTTTGATTAAATTGTGTGTAAATATAGTTGTAGAATTTGACAAAAGTAGCATAGACTTGAGATTTGTGTTGTAACGGATAAATCCAAAGAAATTTGGAAAAATCATCTAAGAATAACACATAATAACGATGAGCATTTGAACTTAAAATGGGAGAAGTCCAAAGATCACTATGAATAATATCAAAAGGTGAATGTGTTTGAGATACAGAAGAAACAAATGGGAGTTTATGATGTTTGCCCATTTGACAAGCCATGCAGTCTAGACTACACATTTTATTACAAGGAATAATTTTATTAGAACTGAGAAATTGGAAAACGGGGTTGCCGGGATGGGCAAGGCGATTGTGCCATGTCTCGGCTGTGGTGGCAACGAACGTAGTGGGGGATGGTGACTTGACACAGGCTGGAGTGATAGGGTATAGATCTCCCGTACTGTTACATCTCATAAGAGGCATTCCCGTGCGAAGTTCCTTCACAGAAAAACCAAGAGGGTCAAACTCAATTGAAACATTGTTATCGGTAGTAAGACGACGAACTGAAATTAGATTTTTAACTAATTGGGGAGCATGAATGTTTTGTAGGCGAAGGGGTGGGTAAGGAGGTGGGAGAGATGAGGTACCGAAACCCGTGATGGGAATGGATTGACCATTGCCCACCATAATACGTTGTTTGGTACCATTTTTAAAATAAGACATGAAAGTACCTCCTTGTGATGTCATGTGAGAGCTTGCCCCCGTGTCAAGGTACCAGTTATCATCCGGGGGAGTGAGTGACATGGTTGCCATTGCCGAGTTGATATCGCTAGGAGTGGCAATATGAGCTTGTGGAGGCTGTGGACCAAGGATGTCGGCACTAGGGTTGGTAGGCCGTGAGCTTTGGTTACCTGGCCATGCAGTTGAAGGGTAGGGGCATGGCGGAATGCTCCATGGAGGCGGCCAATATCCCCACGACGGCATTTGCCAAGGGGTGACAGTTTGGTTTGCCGGTGGAGACCCAGAAGACCGATTGCGGCCACCCCGTGAATTTCCACGTCCCCGGCCACGATTTGAGGGACGGCCAGAGTGACCGTTCGGACGCGGCACAGACGGGGAAACGCCGGTATGGACCAAGGCAGTAGGAGAAGATGTATTTTGTTGAGCCTTCCTAGTTTCTTCAAGAAGAAGCATGGATCGAGCCTTGGAAAAAATAGGAAGAGGAACAGTTTGTTGTATAAATGAAGCAACCGTGTCATAGGACGGTGGCAGACCGTTCACAAGACGCAACACCAAGCGTCGTTCACCTACTGGAGAGCCAACATTAGAGAGTTTCGTGGCCAAGGATTTGAGAGCCTTGCAGTAGGAAGCGATATTGGGGAAGCTTTCCAGCCGAGTATTGGAAAATTCGGTCTCAAGATGGAGTGCTCGAGAATGTTTGTTGTCAAGAAAGAGATCAGCCAGACGATCCCAAGCTTGTTTGGCAGTAGAATCGGGCTCGAGAATAGTGTGCAAAAGATCGTGGGAAATGGTTCCATAAATCCATTGTAACACCATGGCATCGAGTCGATTCCAAAGAGCATCGGATTCAGCTTTGGCAGCGGCCGTGGTAGCAGCGGCGGCAAGAACTTGTTCCGGGGTTTGATCAGGAGGTGTTGTGGAAGAAGTGAATGCAGTGGAGCTATCGGTGTCTACGGGAAAAATGTGATCTTCAACTTGGTAGGCACGGGTTGTGATTTTAAACAGTTCGGCCCAGGAGGAGTATTCCACATTCTCGAGATCAAGAGTAATAGGAATAAAGCTTTTGATATTTGTGAGAGCTAAAGCGGGATGAAATGAAGGGGATTTAGCGGAAGCCATGGGAGGAAAAAAAAGTGGTTGTGATACCAAATTGAAATTCAACGTACCGATCTCATTCCATTTGTGGTCTTTAAATACAATTGTTCTCCACAAATTAAGTGTGCGGATCGTAACTGAAATAATCTAGCTAATAATATCAGCCGCATAGTGTGTGGCGTGATCTGTGCATGAGTTACAAAATATTTGAATTATTTTGAATATCCTATTATGGAGGCTATTTATACGTAGGTACATTGTATGTAGACAAGATGGTTGGAGGTTATGCATGTGCCATGCATGTGTACGTCCGAAAGTGTTGGAGGCCATGCATGTGCCATGCATAAGTGTGTTAACATAAACTTTGAGCAGAGAGCTTTTTTGAATAGTATTGTATTACGTGTATTGTGCTTGAAAAGTGGAGTACGACACACTGTGAACCATTTTTCTAGGGTCTAGCATAATTATTTTTTGAGCTCTTACATTTTCTGCTTGGGGAGTGTTTTTCTTGGTATTAGGCATTCTCTTGCATTTTAGTATGTCACAAGTTTTTTCCCCGAAACTGTATTGGGTCAACATTGAATTACTGCTTATTTTATTAACTTTTTTGTTGTTCAATATCTATGAGAATATATTAAGATTTTATTATAAAATAGTTTACATTCCATTCTTTCTTAAAACTTGAACATCCTTGCTCCAAAAACAACATGAACATCTTTTTTGCTTACATCCATAGTTTCATGTTTCGGAATAGGTTCGACAAACTATCTTCATACATGTGAAGTACTTTTTATGTCTACAAGAAATAGGTACTTTGCGCAAATGATTTATTTGTTAACGCACGTATAAAAACTACGGAGTAGTAGATTTAATAAAGTGTAATTTATATCAAGGAGTACTAATGCTAGCTCGGTAAATGGCCAAAAATGACCTGTATGAGATATCAATAGTCTACTTCTATTTAGACACAACACATACTTCTATTCATACTGGAGTTACATTTCTGGCTGTATTGGATGAAGTTAATGTAGAGAGTCATTTGAACTATTTTCATATAATTTTTCTTAGTGAAAGGGTCAAATATGCCCTCCAACTAACTTAAAAAGTGCAAATCATCCCCTATATAAGAGGCTCGGTCCGGCCGTCACCATTTGGGGTGGTTACCGGTGAAATTTTTGATGATTTTTTTTTGAGAATGTTCTTCATTAAGTCTAGTTTACTCATACCAAATTTTGGCTAAATATTCAATCGGGAAGGTAGTCAAATGAATTTTTGAAGATAACTGTGCAGTTAAACAGCGCATTACATTTCAGAAAATCATTTGACACTCTTCCCGGTTGAATTCTTATCTGAAATTTGGTATGAGTAAACTAGACTTAATGAAGAAGGTGCTCAAAAAATTTCAACAAAAAATTCCACCGGGAATCGACTCAAATGGCGACGGCCGAACAGAGCCTCCTATATAAGGGGTGATTTGCATTTTTTAAGTTAATTCGATAGTCTATTTGACCATTTTCCCTTTTTTTTTATTTAATTAATAAAATACATTTTAAATATTATTTTTTATAAATCAGCATAATCAGCGAAAAACTTCATAAAATTGGATAGAATCATCCAATACAGTCCATTTAGTTATTACCAAACCCGCTCTAAGTTCTCACCAACCTTCTGCCCCCCCCCCTAAGACCCTACCTACCACTTTCCCTATCCGGCTATATATCCATCCCTGTCCCAACCAACCTCTGAGGGAATGGTATAGGGAGAACCCAAAGCGCATTTGAGACTATTCGCTATTACCTACTCCTATTTATGTCCGCAAGAATCGTTGTTTGTGTCATTCTTTCAATGGAATGGAAGTAAATTATGAGTATCAAGTATACCAAACGTTGGGGTTTCTGTTGCTGGCACCGAAGTTTTTTCTCTGCTGGGGAAGCCGAAACTGAGATTTTGCAAATCCATACCTGCATCACTTTATACGGGAAATTAATTTCTACACCATACATGCATATTCGAAGCACAAATTTCTTTTAGTGTGTGTATATATATATATATATATATATATATATATATATATATATATATATATATATATAATATAGATATATATATATATAGGAAAAATAATTTTTACTCTCCTAAAAAGTATTTTGAACCCCAAAAATATTTTCTTCCCAAGATGATTTTCCTAGATCTGCCCTGTATACATTTGTTTATATATACCACGTATATATATACTCTGTATTTTCTACTATATTTGTGCGATATGATTGAATGGTTACAGGTTATAATTTGGTGTACCATCTCATGATTCAAAAGATGCATTTCGTATAACGTAGCAAAAACAATGAATTCTTTTTCTTATCGAGTCATATTTATAAATTATGGAAGTGTGATAAAGATAGCGTGCCTTAGTGCCTAAACACTGACCACATAATTAAATTAGAAAAATCCGAAATCCAAAAAAAGGAACGCGCCTATTTTAATGTTCAATGTATTTTGTAAGCGTAACTTTATGAAAGCTAAGATATTAATTACCATGTTAATTACATTAAAAACTACTCGTACATGCATGTTTATGTCATGAACAGTGTCTTAAAATCGCTCTAGGACCCCTAGCCCTAGGGTGGGTCCGCCCCTGCCTCCGTCCCTTAAAACTTTGACAACTTTCCTTTTTTGGATATCTCATTAACTTTGCCATTTTCCCTTTTAAGTAAAGAATTTGTGGTTTCTGTTAATTCTTTCTTCTCTGCACAAACCTCAACCACACAATTTTTACTTTATTAATCCCCGTACCGGTCAAACTTGGCAAAGTTTTAAGAGACGGAGGTAGTACAATTTTATACTCTGTATATATATATATATATATATATATATATATATATATATATATATATATATATATATATATATATATATATATATATATATATATATATATATATATATATATATATATATATATATATATTGGAAAATTCTCAGGTCCAGCATCTCCCGGTCCGAACGCCGTCCGAACACCGCCGTTTGGGGCGGTTTTAGGTGGAATTTTTGATGAAATTTTTTGAGCATGTTCCTCATCAAGTCTAGTTTATCCATACCAAATTTCAGGTCAAAATTAGACCGGGAAGACAGTCAAATAATTCGTTGAAGTTAACTGCGTTTTTCTATGTATAATTTGGCGCAGTTAACTTCAACGAATTATTTGACTGCCTCCCCGATCGAATTTTGAGCTGAAGTTTGGTATTGATAAACTAGACTTGATGAGGAACATGCTCAAAAATTTTCATCAAAATATTCCGCCGCGAACCGCTCCAAATGCCGGTGTTCGGACGGCGTTCGGACATAAAAGTGTTTGACAGAAAAGTTATGCCGATTGAGACTTATGATGTTAATATTAGAGATGAGTTGACGAGACGTTATTTGAGAAAAGGTCCTTGCCAACCGCGTGACTTTAAATTTCCACAAAGTGATTTTAATGGGTGCAACAGATCATTCCAAAAACAGTGGTTTTATTTAAATTTTATAGTTTTGTTTATTGCTATACTCGTGATGCATATGATTTTTCTAGACTAGTATATCATTTCTTTGTTAATGTGCCCCTGCGAGTCACGAGTCCTGATTCCGCCACTGGACGGAGGGAGTAATTTTTATTGTCTCCGACCAGTCACTGCGGGCGCTTGGGCATTGGGCGCTGGTGAATGTTCTAGCACTTTTTAGAACATTGGGCATGAGGACACTTAGATTGATTTGATTACAAATTAAATGATATAAACACACTGTTGAAGGAAAAATTAAAGATTAAATGAAAGATATAAACTAAATTACCTGGGGGTGATGCTTGGACGAGGAAGTGAGGAGGAATTGAGGGAGAAGGCCTTCATCATTGTTCAATAGGTGTTTTGTTTTACGGTTCTTGGGGAAAACAATTGGTTTATTGTGGGTGCGGCTGATGGGATAGCTTTATTTTTTCTTTATGGATAAGGCGTACCGATGCAACGTGTAAAGTGTAAACCAGTCTCCTTTTTGGATAGGATTTGATGACAGTATGACACGCAAACATAAAGACAGCGACAAACTAAAAAAGATACCTGTATGTGTGACTTTAATTTGTTCCTAATTTATTCCCATTTTATTACTTCATCATCAATCACATAATTCTACTTTTTCTTAAAAATCATAGTACTCTCCTTTGTCTCAATTTTAGGGACGGGACCAAAGATAGTAAATCTGATTCTCAATTCAATGGATGAACTGATTCTACCGAATAATGATAAAATTATACTAAAACACACATAATATTTGACAAATAAATAAAGAAAAAGTTATAATAAAAATAGCTAAAATGGTCCTCTAAAGTAACCATTCTAGTCCATACAGTCAGAAAAAGTTTCTTAAACGTTATTTTTTTATTATTACACAACTCAGTGCATGAAATCAAAAGTTACGTATTTGCTGAAAAATTTGACTGATAAGTCGAAAAACAACATCACCAAACGGGTCATAAACTTTCAAAATAATACCCAATTTTGACACTTGTCGTGCAACAATATTTTTTGAAAAAATTGCTGATAGAAATCCGACCCTAGGGGTAGCCGGAAAACCGAGTAAGAGAGACTAAAAGTCCTAAGTGTAAATTGAGTAGAAATTTTCACATAGTAGTTGTAAGCTTGTGTGCAAGAAATCAATCCCTTTCCACAAACAGGAAGATGATATTTATACTGCAAAGGAAATATTTGGCCAACAAGTAAAAAAGATGTTATTTTAATATGGTGCGACACATGTAATACTTGGGCACCAAGTCAAATATGTTAGTCTAATATCATGGTGACACGTGTAAAACTTGATTGCCAAGAGAATGAAGACAACTGGCAGATTGATACGACGCCTAACTGATTTGATTCCCTTTGTACTAGAACGCACATGCAAGCCACATGTGTAAGTTCTCGATCCTTCTGTGTGTAACCGCCGGGATGATGTCAGTCCCAGATAGCTATCGTGTTGATGACATAGTCGTAACCATGTGTGGAACTTGAGTACTGAAACTAGTTGAGTCCATGAGCTTCCCTGAGGCCACAGGCTCTATGGAGTTGAGCTCTCTAGGACAACATAATATATTATTTAAGAGGTGAGTGGCCTCAATTTGCATAATTAATGCTTCTTTTAGTTCTTTGACGTTGTGGGACGCTGAGTTGACTTCAAGCCCAGCCATAGTACGGACTTTGGCGCTGACCACAATAGGTGGCGAGCTCGGACTCAGTTGCAGTTTTGAACTCATCTTGATGATCTGAGATCTAATTTGGGAATCGAGCTTGGCGGACGCGGGCTCAAACTCGGCTGCAGTTTTGAATAAATTATTATTTCACATCTTTTTTTAAATTAAAACAAAATAGTTGAATTCTTATTACTATGAATATTGAAAACCAAGGTTCATATCTATATTAGACCCTAACCATATACATGTATTCACTCCTTTCGTTAATCATATATTACATCGTATGCTACATGTTCAATTCAAATGTTTTCAAATATTGTCTATTTGATCTTTAAAACCATAAAACTGAATTACGAGTATCTTAATTATTAGAGATAGTTTCCGAATATATATATATATGACTTAACCAGTTTTTTCCCAATATAATATAAATAATCAAAATATTTAATTAAAATTCGTAATAATTAAATAATAAATAATTTGTATGGACAAATATACCGTTTAACATATACCTATAAAACCCCAGCCTCCCACTATTTTTTCTCCAACCCTAGCTTTCAGTCTCTCACCACCCGAGCTCCACCGCCTCCCATCGCCACCGCACGCCCCTGCCTCCACAGTCCCCAACTCTTTGTCCACCGCTGTCCTTGGCCCTCCATCTGCCGCCGTCCAATAGCACAGATGCCGGTGACTAGGGCATCTCCCGTCGCAGCTCGGCATCGCGAGTCACCATCGCCGCCCACTGTCCATCGTCGCAGATGGAATGTATAATTCGCCGTGTGGCTATCTTTCCATTCATTGAGTATTTATACAGTTGCACAATGCTTATCTCTTTACTATGATACATTCGTGTGTGAGTATACTATGTATCTAAGTTGTTGTACACTGGAGAGTATTGCGGATGAGTATACAAATTATAATGAGATAATATTGTACATATTAAATAATATGATAAGTGTGAGTAATGGTATAAGAGATGTGCAGCCAGGTGATGCACACATATGCATGCCCATGCATACGTAGTATGTGTGCTATTACGCCCCTGCAGTTTGATTGGGGGGGTGTAAGCTTACATTCAAACTGGAGCGAAAGTAATCAAATAAAATCCGGGAAAGTCCCTTCTTGAAGATGTCAGCATATTGAAAACGGGAAGGCACGTGGAGAACACGAACATGACCAAGTGAGACTCATTCTCGAACGAAATGAATATCCATTTCGATGTGCTTTGTTCTTTGATGTTGGATCGGGTTATGAGACATGTAGATAGCACTAACATTATCACAATAAATGAGGGATGCATGGGAGAGAGGGTGACGAAGCTCGAGTAGAAGATTACGGAGCCAACATGTTTCGGCTACCATATTTGCCACGCCACGATATTCAGCTTCGGAACTAGAACGGGATATGATAGCTTGGCGTTTAGATGATCAAGAAATAAGATTATTTCCCCAAAAATGCAATACCCGAAGGTGGCCCGCCGGGTGTCGGGGCAGCCGCCCCAATCAGCATCTGTGTAGGCGAGCAGTTGAATGGTGACAGAAGAGCGGAGGTTAAGGCCGTGATGTTGTGTGCCTTTAACATAACGGAGGATGCGCTTAAGAGCGTCAAGGTGAGGCACCCGAGGATTGTGCATGTACAATCACACTTGTTGAACCGCATAAGAGAGATCCGGCCTAGTGAACGTGAGATATTGCAAGGCGCTGGCGAGGCTACGGTATAAAGTAGGGTCGGGCACAGGAGGACCAACATCTGCGCTGAGCTTTGCTTTGGTGTCAACAGGAGTGTTGGAGGAGTTACAAGAGTGCATGCCAGCTCGTTGTAGAACTTCCCTAGCATATTTGGCTTGGGAGAAAAAGATGCTGCCAGGGGAGTGAGATACAGAAATGCCAAGGGAGTAAGACAAGGGACCCAGGTCCTTGATTGAAAATTTTGCAGCAAGTTTGGAGATAATATCTTTGAGGAGGGTAGTAGAAGATGCGATAATGATGATGTCATCGACGTATAAAAGAAGGTAGGCAGTAGCACAAGCATAGTGGTAGATGAAGAGAGAGTGATCGACCTTACTGTGTTGGAGACCCAGTTTAGCAATGTGAGAAGCGAACCGGTGGTACCATGCACGAGGAGCTTGTTTTAAGCCATAGAGTGATTTCTTCAAGAGGCATACGTGGTTGGGGCAAGTAACATCCCGAAACCTGGGAGGTTGATGCTTGTAGACTGTTTCATCCAAGAAACCATGAAGAAAAACGTTGTTGACGTCAAGTTGATGGAGGGGCCAAGAGTGAGATAATGCAATGCTAAGAACCGTGCGGATTGTGGCGGGTTTGACGACCGGGTTGAATGTTTCATCACAATCAATACCGGGTCGTTGAGACTTCCCATTAACCACTAGCCGAGCTTTATGACGTTCGAGACTCCCATCCAACTTGTATTTATGTTTAAAGAGCCACATACAACGAATGACATTAGCATTAGGGGCTCGGGACGGGGAACCAACTCCCACGTCTTATTATTAATAAGGAGCTTAAATTCACTATTCATAGCCGACATCCAGTTGGGATATTGAAGGGCCTGGACATGGGATTTGGGTAGTGGGGAGGATATGACCGAGGGGTTGTGTATGTTGGTGAGGTTATAGATTGGGTTTAGCCGAAACACCCCAGCTTTCCTACGGGTGATCATTGGGTGGGTGCTTGTCGATATTGGAGGCGGACTAGGTGGGGGAGACGTGGGATTTTGTGGCTGTGTAGGACATGAGTCATTATGTGACGTGGGTGGAGGGGGAATATTAGGTGGGGAATGGCCTCGAATATTAGGGATGGTGGGGAACATTTGTGATGGTAGATATGGGGATGGTTGGTCAAGGAGAAAATTGTATGAGGGTGGGGGGTTATTATTTGCTGGAGTTTGGAACGGAAAGGTGGATTCATCAAACGTTATGTGACAGGATATGAATATCCGCTTTGTGGAGAGGTCAAGGCATTTGTAACCTTTGTGATGAGACATAAAACCGAGGAAAACACTAGGTGTGGTGCGAGCGGCTAGTTTATGAGGAGTGGGAATATGGGGGTAACATAAACAACCAAATATTCGTAAGTCAGAATATGTAGGTTGTTTATGATATAGCATGAGGGTAGGGGAGATGTAGGATAAAGGTTTGGAGGGAAGAATATTATGTAGATAAGTGGCCATTAATACGGTGTGAAGCCAGAAAGTGGGTGGTATGGATGCATGGACTAATAACGTTCGAGAAATATTATTAATGGAACGAATTTTTCATTCTGCTTTACCGTTTTGTGGGGAAGTATAGGGGCGTGAAAATCGGAAAGACATCCCATGTGTGGAACAAAAATTGTGAAATAAGGAGTTGTTATATTCACGACCATTGTCACATTGTAGGGTTTTAAATTGATTTTCCGAATTGAGTTTGTACAAAAGTAAAAAAATGTACAAATTTAGAGAAGGCATCGGATTTGAAATGTAGGGGATATATCCACAAAAAATTGGTAAAGTCATCCAGAAATAAAATATAGTAACGGTGACCGGTGGAACTTAAAATAGGAGAAGTCCACAAAGCATTGTGTATAAGATCAAACGGAACATGAGTATAAGATAAAGATGGAGAAAAGGGTAATTTATTATGCTTTCCCATTTGACAAGATTGACAAATAACATTATAGGTCTTATTGTTGGAAAACAATAAAAGGGGCCTAATATGTAATTAATTAAAATGTGTTTACCATCAGATAAATAATACAGTGGCCATTCATGAAATAATAAAAGTGTAGATATCAGGATAATATATTTCTTTTGGTGACGGGTCAAATTAAATATA